ATCTAACCAGTCCGACCATCAAAGCGACCATACACCGATGTACTGAGTCTCCCCCCTCCCCCCTGGCGACTTATGAGAGCAAAGCTTCATATGGACCCATTGCAGTTGACCTTAATATGAGCTCATGCCTGGTATCTGGAGAAAAACTTGAAAGCACCACTAGTCCATAGGTGGAATATGTGACTCCAGTTTCTTTGATTATTACTATCAGCAAATTTTTACTAAGCATCAGTTAGCACAAAAAGTCATACACCTACTATATAACACAATAAATAACCGGACTCCATTGTGTACCTGATGTTTTCGAGTGTTCGGGCTGCTTTGGAACTTTGTCTTGATGTAATTCGTGGCCGCATGTTACCGCGCCAGTCAAAACGTGAGGTTTGTTAGCAGAGACATGTTCATGCATGGACATATCTTTGACTTCATCCGCTATTTCTCTACATTCATCTTGTAACGTTGAGTTTATTTCTCTGCATTCTTGTGACTTTGAAGGTAACTTCCAATGACGTGGTTTCTTAGCAACATGCGTGACTGCCTCATTGCTGGCTTCTCCCTATAGTCAGAGACAATGTGCAGAAATTTCACTTCTCAGCTTGGGCAGCAGTCAGTAATTTATCAGGGTTCGTACATGTCAGGAAGACTCAAATTCAAGTACTTTTCAAGGACATTCAAGGCCATGTATCAGCAAATTCAAGGACTAAATACTGAAGAAGAAGGCGTTAGAAATCAGCAAAATCTGACTTGAATTGTTCAAAACGTAACTTTATAATGAGGTCAGATATATGAACATGCAAAATCAGTTCAACAAAATGTCCGTCTTGAATGTCAAACAATTTCAGAAAATGTCCAAAAACTAAAACAGGAAGAATTCAAGGTCATTCAAGTACTTCTTTACAAATTCAAGGACATTCAAGGCCTTGAATTTTTGTTTTCAAATTCAAGGACATTCAAGGACTTTCAAGTTTTGTACGAACCCTGATTTATGTGTTTTTCACCTGTCTAGACTGAGTAGACTCTAGAGCCCTGCGAGGGCCAAAAATTTTCTAAAGAGTTTTACAAAGAAAATTTGTTACGAAACAAAATAACGCATACATTTCAGAGGATATTATAAAGCATAAAAAACGTTCCAATTGTTGTGGGACACTTTTTTCTGCACATGCGTGTTCTTAATAAAACGGGCGGTTTAGGCTATGGTTTATGTATAGAGCGTTTAGAAATGGCGTGGGAAGCTAAACTTGCATAAGTTAAATAGAAAAAACACATTTACTTGATAGTAAAACTATTAGCGATAGCTTAACAGAATATACGGTTTGGAGACTTACGAGTTATTGTGTGAGTTATGACTTATGTTTATTTTTGTCCAGGTTTATGGCATGCAAAAATATTGTGTGTATTGACTATTGAGTATTGTATTTTCGCCCAACTATAAACCAATACTCAATAGCATTGACATTGTCATTGTTTTGGTTTTGTTATTCATTAATAATTTATTGCAAAGGGATGGTACGGCTCACATTTCACGTGATGTTAAACAGCCATTAAAAAATCACCGTTCAAAAAACAGCCATTAATTATAAAATAAATCATTTCTAATCAAATATAAAGATTTATAGCAGCTACACAGTCATAGCCATATTGATAGCACATTGTCATTACATACCCGCGTAGCAGTCAATGGTCCATTCCAAACTCCTCCAGGAAGTTGGGTTAATTGATCCTATAGTATAGTATAGTAATAGTCAGGGGCATGTTATTGTTGACTATAGTCTATACTATACGCAAAATACCGTAGACAACGACACTGTCACTATATTTCTGCTTCTGCTCTCGTGAGTTTATAAATGCCCATGGCCATGACCATGTAGTAACTCACATGAAACATTCAAGCTCCATCTTTCGAAACCCAACATGAAGTGAGGTAAACTTTTAAACCAACAGTTACTAATGAGTAATGTATATTAAATGCTTCTAAGGACTTCAACAATTTGAACATGCAGACTGCAGAGTGCAGTTCAATTAATTCGCTCACTCAATTTAAGATTTATATTGCACCTTTCTTAATACTATATATCTATTTGAGGCATACACACAGTGTCAGTGACAGTGTGGATTATAACGCTCGGCAATCGGCTATTTGCCGAATATAAAAACACTTAGACCCCGTTTACACGGTACCGGACGAATTTGGGACCGGTCTGAAATTCGTCCTTTTCGGTCGTGTAAACACACGAGAACTACGGAACCGGACGAATTTGAGACCCCCTAACAGGACGAATTCACGTGTAAACAGGCGGAAAAGGACGAATTTCAGACCGGTCCCAAATTCGTCCGCGGTACCGTGTAAACGGGGTCTTAGTCTTAAATGGCCGAATTGTTTCTATCCTGTATACGGACATGTTGACCGCGATCAGATAAATATGTTTTCATTTACATTAAGAACTGTTCAAAAAGCACACAAGAAAAAGAACACAAAATATTTTCTTGCAAGAAAAAGAACACAAAACAAACAGAATCCATGAATCCATGGTTTTGGTAATAATTGTTCGTTTTAATATTATTATTAACATTGAATGTTGTAGCTACCGTGAATGTGCATGTTTGTCTACTTTTTACTGTCTAAATAATTGTATTTTTATGCACGAATTCCATGGCCATGCATGATGGCCTCATTATCCAAGATAATTTTCATGCAGATATTCACGTACACGAAATAGGCCTAAATGGTTGGCAAAGGAGAAGCGAACAGGAAGACCACTTTACTCTTTAGCGGAGTAGTGTGATTTTGGCAATGACAGTGTTATCGGCCGATAAGTGATAAGCCTAAAACTTATTCATCACTCAAAAATCTTCAAAAACAGGTACCTACCCAGTGTACCTACCGTATCAATATTTAAAATTTGAGATCCTAGAACATTACGTGCGTGTCTTGTACATGTTTGCACCTACGAAGATTGTGATACTTAAAAATTATGTATACAACTAACTTACTGTAAAAATAGGACAGACTAAGAAAAACATTGTTTTATATAACATCAACGACAAAGTAACCTAAAGGTGGGGTGACGTTCCGTAGAACTATCCAAGCCCAAGGAATACTTCATATAATTGAACACTACTCTGGCTATTTTGAGGGGGTTGTCTACGGGACCTCCTGATTATTTATCCACCTACAGTATCCTAATCTGGTTAATTTAACCAGGAAGTCCTGGTCAAATAAAACCAGATTCCTGGTAACATTAACCAGACTGTGGTAAGAGGTGAGATAAAATAACCAAGAAATTTAACCAGGAATATTAAGTTACTCAAATAGTGCTGTTTCTAGGTTACCCAGGAAATTTTAACAACATAATTTGTTTTAGAGTGAAGGGTGCATCTCGATACTCGACATGAGAATCAACGTCATTCATATGAGCTCGTTTATTCTTTCATTAAGCAATTTAAGCGCCAGTTTCCTGCATACAGACTAGGGACCAGTTACCACCAGGTACCCCAATGGACCATTCCCCAATTAACCAAAATTTTGATCTCAACAAGTCTAGACAAAATTCCATCATTGCATGAAAGAGCATCACAAAATTAGTAATATTCCAAAGTTTCGTTGCGAAATGTTGTAAAATGCGGATAATATAGCCTTGGGAAATTTGCAATTTTCAGTCATTTTAGATTACAAACGGGAAATGGTTACCACTTTTCCAAAATTTTGATCTTAACTAGCCTAAACAAAAATTTCATCACAGCTTGAAAGAGCATCAGAAAATTAGTAATATTCCAAAGTTTCATTGCAAAATGTTGTAAAATGTGGATAATATAGCCTTGCGAAGTTTGTAATTTTCAGTCATTTTGTATTACGCAAAGAAGTGGTAACCATTTCCCGTTTGTAATCTAAATTTCGCAAATTTCGCAACGAAACTTTGGAATATTACTAATTTTGTGATGCTCTTTCAAGCTGTGATGAAATTTTTGTCTATAGACTTGTTGAATTCAAAATTTTGGTTAATTGGGGAATGGTCCATTATCAGTGCCGCCGAGAGCGGAGCCCGGAGAAAAATGTTTCAAGGGGGCCCTACTACGACGTTTAGCCGTAGCCGCTTAGCCCCCTACTTTTGTTTCTGGGAGCTCTAAGCCCCCGACACTGGTACTCGGACAATTTGTCGAAAGACACTTTGCCGACTTTGCCGAACGGACATTTTGCCGACAGACTTTTCGCCGAAAAGACATTTTGCCGAACGGACAATTTGCCGAAAATAGAGATGTTATTTCGTCAAAATATTAAACACCCACGTTGTTTATCAAATTGTTTGGGACGGTGACTCAATTGTCATGTGAGTCATTAGCAGTGCATAATCATATCGATTAGAGGTGTGAAAATCCGATCCGAAACCGATCCGATTCGTTCGGATTTCGGAACCAAAATATTCATTTCGGATCGGATTGATAAAGTTGTTTCGTAGTCGGATCGGATCGGACTTCGATATCCGAAATAAAATGAATTAATTATCCATGCATTTATCAAAGCATTATCGCGGTTGTCGCTGCATTATTCGTTTGATACTTTAATTGGACGTCACTTTATCAGCTTCTTGACATTGTATTTCTTGCTTTTATATTTATTTGGTTAAATATTTCAACTTGAATGAGAAATTTATTTTATTAAAGAATTCTTCGGATCGGATTGGAATTCTTTATCAAAACTCGGATTGGATTCGGATTAGACAATTTCGGATCGGATTTTAAACATTAGGCAATTGTCCATTGTCAATTATAAACGTCCAATCCGATCCGATGCACACCTCTAATATCGATAGTTTGTTTGTGCAGCGGATGACTCGTCTGTTAGGAACGTGTTTTGACGTCAGGTCGTAAACAAACAAGCGTATAAAAAGGCAGCAGCGTAACTCTGCGTAAGTAAATTTCATTTCGAGAATGATGAAACACATTTGCAGTTCTCGGGAAAATCGCAAATTTGCAAATTGCAGAATGCCAATGATTAATGGCAACTATAGGATTTATATTCTCAGCTAAGCATTCTTGTAACAAGAAATTTTAAGGGCTTCGTTGCTTTGGGGCCCCCTTGTCAACTGGGGGCCAGGGGCAAAGTGCCCCCTGCTCCCCTCTCGGCGGCCCTGCCAATTACAGTGGTTTCTTATTACAAATATAAAAAATAGATCTACTGTACATGTGCAGTAAGATTAATTGATTAACAAGAACAACTTTCTCCCCCAACACAGCGACCGAGCTGTGCGACATTTAAAGTGCCTATGTCATGATTTGGGATTTTAATTTTTTTTTTATCTTTGGCATTTTATGAAGAAATGCAATATACCTTTATAAGAAAATATAGCATCTTCATAGCATTATCAGCCCTCAAAGTTACTGGATATGACATCAAATCGGGAATTTTATACGCTAGAAACAAAAGAAATCTAATTTGCAATTCCCGGTTTGATGTCATATCCGGTAACTTTGAGACCTGGTAATCCTGTGAAGATGGAATATTTTCTTATAAAGATATATTGCATTTCTTCATAACATATACCAAATGAATGATTACAAATAATAAATTACACAAATCATGACATAGGCACTTTAACATTTATTGAGACAAGACATTCACATGCACCGTGGGATATACATGTATATTAAAGGCTTTGTCATTTTTTATCCCTCGTGGATACTGTACCTTTGTAACTTGCTTATCCAACAGTTCACTTGCGATGTTCACTTCCTCTGGATCGTTTACTACGCTATAACCATATTTACAACTACCGGGTATTCCAACTTGTAAACTGGCGTAGTTTGCTTCACGATAAACACACGTATCTTTTTTGCTTGTTGCTACTCTCTTTGGAAATGAACTCTGGTAAATAATCTTCTGCTCAGCAGTTACCTGAAATTACAATGTATTGCTTTTCAGGCACCATTGTCGTTCGTTCGTCCCATCCATTTATTTTTTCCAATACCCCCGAAGATGGCAGACATGTACGAAGCATCCAAACAAAAAGAAAACAGCAGACGCGTTGTTGCAACGAAACTCCCTCCATCCCTGATTGATTTGCACCTCAACGCGTCATAAACGGGGAATACATATACTAGATAAATAAAACTAATAAACTAGTCACAGGGCTAGTCTGAGCCACCCAGTGCTTAGGAGACCAGCTGCCACAGAGACGGGCGGGGTGCTTTGCGGGCAGGTTCGCTACTGACTCCATTTCTTCGTGGTTTGCAGACCGCCATTATAAAGTAGTATAGATATTACTTCGTGGTGTGTGACATGTTTCAAGCTATTCCAGGTTAGTATTGTTTGTATTGGAGAGGGCAGCTTGTTCTCTATGGTAGTCTCCCACCGCGTACGTTAGTTAATTGTTTTTACATTGTCATTTGATATATTACCCCTCCCTTGACTTTTCTTGACTCTGCTGTCTGCATGCTTCATTTTCCGTCCCTCATACGTTTACGTTTTAATTCACCGTTCTTTCATTTTCTCGTCTCTTTGTGTCATTATATTTCCCCTACTTCATTTCTCTCATTTTGCTTCTGAATTATTTACTTCTTCCCTTTTCTTCACAATTTTTCACCGTTTACTTAATCCTGTTCTGTCTTGGTTACCGCAGAGGTCGGTTGTTCAAAGCTGGATTAGCGCTAACCCTCGGTTAAAATTAAACCTGTTGTTTTAGTTCATGTATTTCTACACGTCTGTTTATTTCAAAATTTCAGAGAAAAGAACTCCGATTGATCCAGATAACATTTCTAAAGAAATATTTCCATATTTATAAACAAGCTTGTTGGGAGGTTTGCTTTGAATTTTAGGTTAACCTAGGGTTAAGCTAATCGGCTTTCGAACAGCCGGGCCCAGGACCTAATTTCACTTGTCTAATTATTACTCATTTACTTAAAGGCACAGTTCAGCCTTTTGAACGATGGTTTTTAAGGCGCATTTCAGTCCTTTAATTGAAAAAAACTAACTATAGGAAAATCAATTATATATAATTCAAGATCAGTAAACTCAATGTTTTTAACAATAAAAATGTTTTAAAATGTTAAAAACATTAAGTTTAATTTGCTGATCTTGAATTATGCTTAATTGATTTTCCTAAACCTTAAAAACCATCATTCAAAAGGCTGAACTGTGCCTTTAACTCCCGTTGACTTCACTTTTCTTTTTTCAATGTTCAGCTACTAGACACTTTAGGTCTAAAAAATGTTTCGTTATGGTTTCTTGCTTCAAAAATTAGGGACACTTTAGACATATTAAGAAATGCTTAGTTCTGGTTTCTTGCTTCGAAAATTAGGGTCGTAAAATAGGGTCGGATGTCAAACAAATTTTTAGGGCTTTACTTCGTGTTGTGGCGTATTTTGTCTTTTCTCCATACAACTTTCCCTTTTTATCTGTTTTCAGCTTTACTTTATATTACTTACAATTTTCCCCCAACATGTCTAGGCAACCTCGTACCCAGGCTCTTGACAAGTACAGTAGGTTCAGTTGACTCTAACTTAGTTTATATTTCTTATACGGACAATATGATCAACTGACGAGACAATATCCGTTGACCGACCGCTATTTCAAATCTTGAAATCTGTTTGCGTCACTTTCTTTAATCCTTTATCAGACCTGTTTCCTTTCTGTTCTACTAATTGCCTCTGACAGAAGTACGGTTTTTCATAATATTCAAGTCACCTGGTCCTGGGATTATTTTACTTACCGCTTCATATGATTTATCCAGCTGTTGTAGTTGCTTCACTTTTTCAAGAGCCTTAACCCTTTCCCTCACATCATGTTGAAATTTCTTTAATTTTTGTTGCTTTTCTACTTGAATGAATTCTATTCTTTGTTCTTCATTAGCAGCGGAGTACTATTATTTTCAATGCATTGGAAAGAAAAAAATACAGTATATTCTGTAGAGGAAATAGTATTGTGTTGCATGAATAAACGCCAGTAGAACAAAAAGTTAATGAAATATTAGGAAATTCAGTTAACGTTAGCCACAGATTGGGGTAGTTTTTCTTTTGATATGCGCGACATCCAGTCCCAAGTTAAGAAATATCTCCTTATTCTCCTATTCGTTGACTTAGGTCTGGATGTCGCGTCTTTTAGGGGCTGTTTATGTGAGCCAGGCCAACCCGCCTAGCTGGGATGAAAATGTTTTCCTGAGCGTGCCAGCGACTTGAAAAGTCTTTCAATGATTTCGGGCACGTGGTTAAATCTCAACTGTCTAATTCATTTGAAAAATTATTAATAAGGTCGAAAAATCGTTTAATGGGACGAGTAGTTACACATTCAGTTGGGGTTTTTTCTCGCTTAAATTATTACAACGATGTGTATAAAAAATGATGCGTATCAAAAAAGACATCGTATTCAGTGTAGTCTATTTTAAAATATATTTATTAAAAAATTTTAAATAAAAAGGAGAGAATATAGTAGTAAATAGTTATTTTCATGAATAAGAGAATTAATGCATAATTTGAAATGATTTTATTTCAAACTCAAATTTATCAATAAAAAGCAGTTTGGTTTTAATAATGAACATTTCAAAACTTATTTTACATTACTGTAAATTGTAGCTTATATTATGAATAATAATTATTTTTATTATATAAACATTATAAGTGTTATATAGAGTTTTTGGCCACTGAGAAAAATCGTATTTAAACACATGTAAAAAATACGATATTTTTACGTGTGAAAATATCACTTGTTGTAAAACGCATTGCCACGGACGTTTTATTGTTTTTCACTGAATTTTGTTTATATAATAAACAGAAAAATACATGAGTGTGCGGAAATACAAGATTTATTTCTCGTGTTGAACATGATATCTCACTCGTTCGCTGCGCTCACTCGTGAGACATCATGTTCAACACTCGAAATAAATCTGGTATTTCCGCACACCCATGTATTATTCTCTATATATTATATATTTTGTAATTTGATAATTTTTAAATTTGTAATTAAAATTTAATTATTAAATAATCTTTTAACTGTTTTTGCAATTTTACATAAAAAAATAAAAAATGTCATGTTACCATGACAGCCAGTTCTAATACTACATGTTTGAAAAATATTGCTGTTGGTTAGCAAGAAAAAATGGCATATACAGTAACACCAAAGTTTTTACTATACTCTGCTAATACCATGATAATTGTATAGGATTCAATGCTGAATTTCTACTATAATTACACCCTAGTTATATAGGAGTCCTTTTGAATTTCCATTTGTTCCTATTGGGAGATCACTGTCTCTATAAATCTCTCCTCTAGGATTCCTATTCTTTGTTTGCAATCACACGACTTTTCATCCAAATGACGGGCAATCAAACAACTTGTGGATGATTTATTTTTTCTCCTATCAGAATTGCTGTAGCAAGGAAAACTGAATGGTAATTTATCTTTTGAGTCTTAAACTTATAATCTCTAAACTCGATCAATTCATTAAAATAGTCGTTTTTTGTTATAGTCTTGCCTGTCAACTGAAATACCAAAATTACATCATTGCAAACAAAGAATTAGGATCGGACCTATTCCCTAATGAACAAAATTTTGATCAGGACAAGTCTAGACAAAAATTTCATAACAGCTTGAAAGAGCATCACTGATTCACAAAATTAGCAATATTCCGAAGTTTTGTTGCGAAATGTTGTAAAATGCGGATAATATAGCCCTGCAAAGTTTGCCATTCTTCGTCATTTTGTATTACGCACAGGAAATTGATACCCTTTTTCAGAAAGCGGTATCAATTTCCTGTGCGTAATACAAAATGACTGAAAAACGGCAAACTTCGCAGGGCTAATATTATCCACATTTTACAACAATTCGCAACGAAAAGTTCTTCGGAATATTTTTGTGATGCTCTTTCAAGCTGTGATAAAATTTCTGTCTAAACGTGTCTAGATCAAAATTTTGTTTATTAGGGAATAGGTCCATTCCTATAGGATATACTCAATATAGGTTACTAGTTTCATATACAGTAAATTGTTTAATATTGTTCTGATTTTACTAATTATACTAAACAGGAATGAACCCATCTAGTACTACATGTACAAGAACCTGAATAATTGCACTATTCTGACTAGTTTGCAGACTATCTGTACTTCGGTTTCAGTATTTATTGATAAGATGGACAATTTAATCATTTAATGGTCCTGTGTACGTTGAAAATTGGACCCGTCCAATGACCCATCTCTTGTAAGCAAAAATTCCTCATGATGCAATAATTCAATTCTTTAATATTCATTTGAATATTGTATATAAAAAGTAACATACAGACATGGAGGCATCTATTTTTATGCAAAAATTGAAATTGTACTCTCCCTCCCCCTTCTACGCAAAGAACAACAGGTACGACAGGCGGACAGGGCAAAAACAGGAAATTTTCTTACACAGTTTAATACACCCCTGACCCCTCCAGCCCTCTCCCCTTAGTTGCGCACGTACTAAATGGATCAATGGTATTATAAAATTGTTAATAATGACATACAACCGACAAATTGATTGCCATTATAAAGATGTTCATTTTCAAAGCAAATCTATTAATTAACACTCATTATTAGTCATCAACATTATATTAAAAAGTTCGCAAACCTCTGCACGCTGAGGAAAATGTCTTTGTTTCATACTTTCCTGTTCGGCCCATGCCATAAATGGCGGTCTACCTGTAGGACGGTGCGCTAGAGATCCTTTAGATTTCATCTTTGATTCTTTCGGCTTTCCCGATGTGTGTTTATTTTCTTTCGAATTATCCCGAACTTTGTCCGCTATTTTGTTTAAATTTGCCGCCATGTTTAAAAATGTGGGTCTTTCGAGGGCATTGAAGGATATTTAGGTGCATAAAAATTCAGACAGCAGCAGAAAAATGGAAACCCCAATCTCGTACCCAGAGTATGCCCGTTCGCAGGTTAGGTGCTGGGCACATTGAACTAAAAATAACTCACTGGCTGGGCATGACTCTGGAGAAACGGAATGAAATTATCAATTTCATTGGCTGGCGTGAGATCAATAACACCGATACCGGAAATTGGTGTTCAAGTGCGGGAATTACACGTGGAAATTCACGAATACGACGTAAACAAAGTCGAAATTGCATTTATTTGCAAGATTTCAAATACAAGTTAATTGTTACATTTAATCTGATTGAGGATTTATACGTACGATCTGTACACTTTTGTATCTTGTATTATGGCAAATACTTTTTGTTTGTTTATATATAAATTACCGATATGATGTAACAAAATATTTACTTCAATTCAATTGCACCAGTGATCGCCAGTGTTGGGATTTTGGCTTGTTCTGGACCTGTTGTGTTTGCCGTTTGGAAATAGCCATCATTGAATTTTTGTGTGGATATAAGACTCTATTTTTGAGTATACCATAATATTCTTTATATAACTTTATAAATATATTAAAGTATTAAATTATGTGAGCTATGGATCTGTTACAAATACATCAATTAA